TCTTTCAACTAATTATATGCCGCCCCATTCAAGTAACAGACTAAGAACTAGTTAAAAAAAATATAGATGGCACATAAACTACTTGCAGCGATCAACATGAGTTAACTCTAAATTCAACTCAAATAATTTCAAGGAATATCACTACCGCAACTTATAAACATAACCAAACAAACACAAAAATATAATTGAAAGATGGTTTTCCATTATCCAATCTTTATATTTGATTGCAGCGTACAAAAGTAAAAAACTTTTAAATCAAAGTTCTATATCAGCAAGTTCTTTTTTATCATTACAATGTTTTCACAAATTAGGAAGCTGCATTTTGATTTAGTTCACATATCTCCCCCCCCCCCGCGGCCGGTGGCAGGAACTGAGCCTATACTAAATCAAAATATGCATTAGCTATTTATTAAGGATTAACTTTTATATACTGAAGGTATAGTAATTTTTTTACACTAGCAGTGTTGGATCTATGCCACATATGTATAATTTGAATTTTAAATTTATATTTATATTATATAACATGATCTAAACATTCTTGTGTAAAAAAAAAAAAAAAATCTTTACACTGACAGTGTATAAAAATTAATCCATTTATTAATACGCTTACTCATTTCTCAATCTTCTCATCCTTACAATCATAAGGGCAACCATTAGTATTTGACTTTTCTCTTTTTTCTCTTTTCTTTTTCTTTTTCTGAAAAAGAATAAGTTGACTAATCTCTAATCTTAAACTTTGGAACACGATTATATCTCAAAATACAAATGGAAAATATGCATATAATATTGCTAATTAGATGCCTGCATTAGTTTGATATTTTTTTTTTTTTTGAAACATACATTAGTTTGATATGTTAAAGGATAGAACATTTGAAAATATACGAACTTAATTGTCAATTTCAAATTCTCATATAAACAAACATATGTATGCAGGAAAAATACTTAAATTTAAGATTTAGATGATCAAAAAGAGAAATAATTTACTTGAATGTGTAAGCAATTTAGTTATGAACAAAATTTTTTGACATAATAGACAAAGTTTTAACAAGTTAACATGTAATACTAATACAATTATTAGCGATTTGAACTTCATAGATTAATTAACAAAATAGCAAGTTTAGAAATACTTAAAGAGTAAATTTCAAATTTTCATAAAGCAAAAGTTAGGTGGAGGGGAGCAATGGACTTTCATCAAAATCTAAGGAAGGCAAGAGGAAGATTTTGAATGAAAACTTAAAAAACTCAAAACCTGTGTTTTCAAACTCGGACCGGACCGGCCGGTCCGACCGGTTGAACCGGGAACTAGTCAAGTGTCTGGTCCGAGTTGGTCATCAAAATCGGGAGATTCAAAACCCGGTCAACTCCGGTCAAAATCCGGGTTTGACCGGTACAGAACCGGAAAAACCGGTCCGACAGGAGATTTTGTAAAAAAAGTTCAAACTTTTTTAATATTATGTTTTGGCCCCCTAAATTGTGAAAACTTATTAATATACCTCAAATATTTCAAACTTTAGAAATATTGTCCTAAAATTTGATGTTTTTTTTCAATTAAATCCATAATTTTAATTCTAAACTTGTTAATGTTTATTAAATAATATAAATTGTTATTTGATTGTTCTAATTTCTTTGTATTTTCTTGTTAAATATATTTGAAACATCAAATATATATGAATATACCTTATTAATATCAATATGTTATTGGATATTTTATATACAATAATTTAATTTTTAAATAATTTTTATTTATGACGTCATCCGATTCGACCCCTATCGACCCCCGGTCGAACCCATTGACCCCTGACCCCTGACCTCTGCCGAGTCGATATCCGGTCCGGTTCTGAAAACATAGCTCAAAACTTAGGAGGCAAGACAAAGATTTTGAATGAATATATGGAATAGGGAGATGACACTGTTTGGTTACAAATTTTAAATAATACACCTCCAAATTGGAAAAGAAACATTAATCTAAAAAATAAATAAGAAAAAATTTCTATTAATTTTTCCTACAGCTTTAATGTAAAAATTCTTTTATATTAGTAGATGTGGATGCACAACAACACGTGTAAAAATAAAATTTTAAATTTGATAGAAATTATGTGTCATGCATCCATAATCACTAGTTAAAAAATCTTTACAATGATGTTGTAAGAAAGAATGATCTAAAAAGTTTATACCACAAACTATTTTACTTGTTCGCATTTTTTTCCTTTATCTTAAGAAATTTAATTGTATTTTTCTTGCATGACTAATATCCTTGCACCATGTCTTAGTAACAAATGGTTTAGGTTGGCATCAGGCAGGCAGATAATCCAGACTAGAATGCTTGCTTCCTAGTATGCAAGAGTTCAGCATTTCCCATTTTTCTCCAAAGGAATCAAGAAAAGAAAGAAAAAGAAAATTAGTCAAATTTGTACTTGATGCATCCCATAATTTTCTGGTGCATCTAGGGATTCTTAGAAAATATTGGGCCTTAGAGTTATTCACCCAAATTTGAATTGCAGAAAGAAAACAAGTAAAAAAGATTTATACCTTATCCAGTTCTTTCAAAGGGCATATACAATTCCTTCAATGGATCCAATTGATGCCTCCTCCACAGACACACACTGCCAACACATTTTTCTGGTAATTATAGCGCCAAAAATACCAACTGAAGAAACAGATCTATCCCGCAATCAAGAAAACAAAAACATCATCTTCTTCATTAGGCTTCTAGATGGCTTCAGCCGCAACAAAACCTTCCTTCACATTTAATCTTCCAACCACTTCTTCTCTAACTCCACCATCCAACAATCATAAACCCAATCCCCAGCTCAAAATCCCACCTCTCTTCTTCAAATCCCATTCCATTTCATCCCTTCATAGCACTAGAAAATCCTATTTCAACACCCCTGCTGTTAAGTCCATTGATGTTTCCAAAGAAGATAAGCCCACAAGCTCATTAGCGGAAGAAACAGCCAAGAATTTATCAGAAACAATCACTGAACCTTCCCAAGAAGAGGCTCCAAATTTTGATAAGAGAAGACTTGAGGAGAAATTTGCTGTATTGAACACTGGAATTCATGAGTGCAGGTCTTGTGGATATAGATATGATGAAACTGTTGGGGACCCTTCATATCCCATTCCACCAGGGCTGCCATTTGACAAGCTGCCTGATGATTGGAGGTGCCCAACTTGTGGGGCTGCCAAGGGTTTCTTTGAGAGTAAAAGTGTGGAAGTTGCTGGTTTCGCTCAGAATCAGCAGTTTGGATTTGGTGGTAATTCACTAACCTCTGGCCAGAAGGCTCTGCTCATATATGGTGGTCTAGCTTTAGGCTTTTTGTTCTTCTTGTCTGGTTATCTTCTTCAATAGTGGAGGATTAATCTGGGCCGAATAATGATTTGTAGAGTTTTATCATTTTGTTATTGTTGTTCTTAGCACTTTTTAAGTACAGGCAAAATGTACTCGAGCATCTGTTACTGATGTGTAGATAAAGAAAATTTAAGAATTCAATGTTTTGGAACTAATGCATTAACACACTGATACAAGTAGAAGGCCTATCACGCTGATTAAACTTGTAATTTAAAATGCAACTCGTAATAGATTTGTCTAATAAGATGATCTTGCTCAAGTTTATGTGATAATTTTAGAGTTGGAAGGGTCAAACTTTGAAGGATTAAAGGGGTGTTTTTTCAGCTTAGAGGGCCTTTTTATCCGTCCCTAGAGGATACCTTTGTTTTTGTTACTCTGTACCATTCTTTATGTTGAATCTACTTACTTAAACATGCTTGTTAGATTATAGCAATCAATTAACATATGCATCATAGTAGTAAATTGAACATACTAAAGGTATGTAGCTAATCAACATATTAGTCAACATTGATCAATTCCTCTCCTCTGCCCTGTCTAACTGGGATATAAGATGCATTTTAAAGCCTTAGTTCTGGTATCCTTTTGATTCTGATGAAAGCATGTATATCAAAGCCCGGAAAGAAGCGTTCCGCTATGTAGGCATTCTTGTGATCCATTGCACGGCATTCAGGAAAGCTTTTCCCAGGAGCGGAAACATGCTAGTCACCAAAATGATACATGTTTGATAGGTTTTATATGTTTTATGGGTGAAACGTACGCGTGGAGCTGGGCAAGTTTTACAGACAATAAAGATGTGATGGTTTCTTTCCTCTTGCTTTCTGTATATGTTGGGCAAGGAGAGAGGCTTTCTTATGCCTTGAACTATCCATCTAATATAATGTTACTTATGAGTTGCCTGAACATCATTGTGAAAACTGAAGATGGTCCAACTTTATTTTTGCTTGCTGCCAAGAGGACTTGGAAGAACTATAACATCGGCAATAGATCTTCTGTCTCATTTCTTGTGTCATTTTGTATCTTATTTTTTATTTTATTGTTATTTCTCTTTCATAAATATCGCATTTAATTCTTTTTTATTTCCTTAAAATCAAACTACTATTAATTGAGCAAAAAAATACACAAAATAGGAGATTTTTTCTAATTTTCTATTATATTTTTTATTTTTGTACGAATTTTCTATTATATCTTTAATCAAACAAACTCAAAAAGTCAAAATACACAAAAAAAAAATGAAATTTTTTTCACAAATTTTCTATTATAATTTTTTAATTTTCTACCGTATATTGCTTTTTTGACAAAAATGAGATTTTTTTCTAATTTTCTATTATATTTTGTATTTTTCTACTATATCTCTTTTGCGAATTTTCTATTATATTTTTTAATCAAACAAACTCAAAAAGTCAAAATACACAAAAAAAAATAATGAGATTTTTTACGAATTTTCTATTATATTTTTTAATTTTCTACTATATATTGCTTTTTTGAAACTGTTGTATTCTTTTTTTGGCTCAATTAATAGTTGTTCGATTTTAAGAAAGCAAAAATAGAATTAAATACGATGTTTACACAAGAGAAATAGCAATATAATAAAAAGTGAAATAGAAAGCGATACAGAAAGTAAGATAAAAAAAATCCATCGCGAGAAACAATTGCCCAAACGTTCAAGTACTATAACATATTTCTTGATCATAGTTTTGCAGATTTTGCTTCCTTTGGTGTAAAGCCTTCGCCTGGAAAGTATCCCAGTTTTGACAGGAAGAAACTAATCAAATATTCAAGTCAAAAATTGGTTAGCTTGTTTGTCCATGACTTGTGTTGCTTACCCTTAAAACAGTTACACAACTGGAAAGCAGAAAGGTAGATCTAAGGGGTACCACATCTCGTCTGGTAGTGATGTGCATATTGTAAGCATTATGAAAGCTAGCCTGCATCTAGCAAATGAATATAACAAGGATTTTCTTAAATTGCACCTTCTACATCTAGTAAGATTTACACAATACCTGCGTAGACAGATTCCTTCATGAGTAGCTAAAATCATTATTGAGAACCTAAATTTGGCCACTGATACCAGCTTACAGTATGGAGAGTAGGCTCAGAAGATGCCAAGCTAATGGCAAATGGTATGGAACTTAGGTTGTCTGTTGCTCCTGTGTCTTTTGTATATCACTTCAAATCTGGCTTTGTTTCTTGGATTTTTTTATCTTGGCTGCTCCTACTACAGAAACTTAACTGAAGTTTCTCTATTTGTAGCACACAAGCTGTTTAGAATACTCCTGTTGATTGTGAATAACACTGAAATCTCCAAGCCCCGCCGCACCACATGGGCAAATGATAGGAAACATGAGAGCGACCGAGCATGTATATCTTGCTTGTGATACCCTGTTGTTAACAGCAAGTCTATGTTCAGAGAGCAAGTTCTTTTGTGAGATAAAACACTATTGGAGATCCTCGTGCATTACCAACTCAGGTAACGAACATCTGCAATATTCTTCAATAAAATCACTAGAAGCAAAGCAAGTAACGTGGAGAAATCTAAAAGCGCAAACTGCACCAGAAGACCAAGCTGCATATACCAGAATGTTTTCGTAAAACAGAATGCCATGAAACTGCTCTACATACACTTCTATTTTTCTCGAGCATATTTAGTTCAGACAAAAGGAGCATATGAAGAAAGATTCCGATGCACATTTGCATTGTTACTCGCACGACCAAGGTTATTAATAATCACAACTGAACATATATAATGAACTGTAGCAGTCAATTAGCAAAGAATTAAATATATCTTCTTAAAATGTTAACTGATGATGCTGCACATTTGTGGAAACTGCCACACACATGGTACTTTACAATTCTCTTCCACAACCAGTATGTATAAATGGATGGGAAGAGAAGGCAGGCTGAGAAACTATCCTACCCTATCCAACCAAGTAGAACATACATGTCAGGGCGAATAAAAAACCCCCTGGTGATTATACATAGGAGGAACCTAAAAGGTATTACCATCCCTACCCACAACCAAAAGATCTCCAAAACCCAAAAAACTGCAAAAAAATAAGGGAAAAAGAAAAATCTCTCCCCTAAGAACCAAAATGAGAAGAAGCAATAGGAAGACAACAACAAATGAGGTGCTGTAGAATCTGATTCATACCGTTGTTTCTGGTATTTCTCTGAAACAAGATTACATAGCGACAAGCTTCGAACTGTTCGTAATTGTTTCATCCAGAGTCTAGGACCTGTACTCATGCACCAAATATTTTGACATCCTTGCTCTACTGAAACAGATTACGTAAAGGTCCACTTGACAGCAGCAAACAGTCCAACCTATGCAACAGCATTACTGGATCCTATATCAGATGAATTCTGACTGGGTCGGCTTTTGACTTGATAAACTTTTTTCACTTGCTTCTCGTATCCTGAAGCTGTTCCAGCAGCAGGTTTGCCGATCCACTTTGAAGGAGGTGATGGAAGTGGACTGACATTCTGCACATGAATGTGGCCTGTATTAGATGACTGCACTGAATTTGGCATCCTTGGAGAAAATGCAGCATTTGGCCTTGTTCGGCCGCCAGTTTCAATTGTCAGGGTAGTCATTCCATTCCTTAAGTTGTAATACTGATCTTGACTTGGATATCGACATTGTGCCCTGAAATTTTGCCTGTGGCTCTGCAACTCAAATGGTGAAGAAGCATATCCCTGACCACCCAACATGCCCCGAGAATTATGATATCCATTGACATAATTTGGTTCCCCAACAAAGCCTCCATATCCAGATTGTCCAGGAGGCCTAGGCTTATTTCCTGCATCGTTGCCCAGAGCGCTTCGATAAGTCATTTGCTCAGAGAAGCCCCTTTCATATCCTGATGGTCCAGCAGGTCTCGGCTTATCTGTAAGATGGTTTCTTGGGAAATTCTGGTTAGCCTTTTGTGCCCTCACCCCAGAGTAATTATAGTTGGAATTTATATTGAGTGTGTTGTTAAGTAGACGGTGTGCTGCTTCACCCAGCGAAGGACCAGCTATTGCTCCAGGTACCTGTGGCCTGTAAAACAGAAAAAATCATGAATAAACAAATAATAATGTCATTGAGAGCATAAATTGTCATATGATGCGAAAGGTGACTATCCTCACAAGACTAAATAAGACAGCTAAAGAAGGCAAACAACACTAATTACTTGAAATTGATTTTTCCCCAATTAGGTTGCCGCATAGTTCAACAGATCATAAAAAATCACCTTCAAAGAATGAATGAACTTTTCAATGTGGCATAAATTTCAAAATTAGCTTTTACAAATGAATAAATCCAGCAGAATTCTAAAAACAAGTTCAAAAACCAAAAGGAAATGAATAACACAGGCCTCTTATCAAAATGCACTTTACCTATTTCTTCCTAGCTGGCGCTTGCTACCAACATCTTCATGCCATAACACAGGGAATGGTTTAATGTCAATTGCTCTTAGGACCTATAGTTGAACATAGCAAAGGCTGCTTTAATATGAACAAGGAAACATCAAGCAACTCAAAACAGAATTAGCATAGAAGTTAGCATAGTAGCTACAACTAGGACAGAAGCATTTGGATTGCATTTATTATGAGAGTTTAGAAAGATAACAATGTAGTACATATTCAAATGTGATGTATATGAGACAAAATGTTGTTGGAAAAATAAAAAGGTAGTTGGGAAATGTTTCAAGGGAACATTTCCAAAACATTTTTTGAAAAAAAAAATTGGCAATCCCCAAAAAGCTGGGCCCAAGACCAGACATTTCAAAGTAAAATTACCCTGGATGTGGCAGTGCTCAAAGCATACCAGATCAAACAGGACTTCTTACAATTAGAAGTTTTCTTCCTGAAATATCTACTACAGAAGTAGCAGCTTGGAATTGACTCGAGCGTCTGCTTATTTATAATACTCATAACTGCCATAAAATCAGCATTAAAACCCAAAAAAACCTTCATTTTCCTAAAACTAATTGAATTATCTCCCTTAATCTTTGATCAGTGTGCTTCTTACAATTTATTGGTTTAAGAGAAATGGAAAGAAGAGTTATTACAGTTCACTGGGATTCAGAGAAATGGAAAGTAAAGAAAGGGATTCAAGGTTTTGTATTACTGGTTTAGATTGCCAAAAAAATGGATTAAAAAATATAGCACCAAAAATAAAATGTAGTTCCAATTATTTAAAATTTAGTATTATTGATAAATAATGGAATACTAATTTGGATCACTCTTATATTATCTAAAAGTTGATTTATTCAATTAATACCTCAAATTCTTAGAAAAATATACCTCTCAAAAGGTGAAACTTTTGAATTTCGGTCAGTTTGTTGTCAAGGCTAACGCCCAACACATTAAAAGGGCCAGCTAAAGCCACAAAGAAAATTAGCCCACTACTTCAAGAAATTAAAACAACTATAGTATAAGAGACTGCCACAATAAAAGGAAATTAGCAATCACATGGGGAGTTTGTCCTCCCAAAAGATGGATATTCTAAAGCAAGGGCTGTAGGGAAGTGACCCACATCAGACAACATACCTTTTCAGGAATTACTGTACCATCAGGAGGCCTTGGGATGTGCTTATGAGGTAACGGATTCAAATAGGTTATATTTCTGAAAGATGAAAGAAGAACAGAGAACTTAACCAATTGCATTCTCTCTTTTATAGTTAAAGAAAAGAAGAAACAAAAAGACCTACAGTGTTTCATTGTTGATGATATCTGGAAATCCATTAACTGAGGAAGGAACTACTGATGTCTTACGATTCCTCTCAGTTAACCACATAAATCCATTCATTCCAACACTGCACAAACATAGATCAAAACCAAGTGTCACACAGCAAGTTGGTGCAATCACTTTCCAAGATAAAAGATGAGAAATATTAACAGCATTGTTGGCTGGCCAACCTTGCATTGGTGTCAATAGCGCAAGGGTGCCGCTCTTTTAGAGGCACTAAACCAGACAGGTGATAGTATGACAGAACATGTGGACCGAGAGGATGGAGGGGGTGGACATAGAGCAAATCACACATCACACTATTACGATGCCGCTCTTCTTCCTGCAAAGACCAGATACATATGAACACAAGTTGCATTCCACAACAAAACCATGAAATTGTAGAAGCAAGCTCTGTAATCAAAGGCATTTCAGATACATTAAGGCTGAGAAAGATACAATTTACTAGTCCTTCATGGACGTCAAGAATTACATAACATTTTTAACAATTTCCCCACCAGGTACCCACCTTGCTGTTTGTCAACTAATTAATTAATAAACATGGTTAATTTTTTAGAACTCCAGAGGCCAAAAATCTTTTATTTTTTTCCCAAAAAATGAAAAAAGAACAACACATTTGCACAAGTTCTTTTTATGGCTTCAGCAGCATCTTACTAGTTGAACTCCACCACAGAAAGTCTACATACATCTAGATTTATAATTAACTATGAAAAACCGAAACTGTCAAACCAGGTAATATTTCATAAACATTATTACAAATTACAAAGGGACCGGATATAACATTGTGGACACTGCCTGCACTCTTCCTTAGGCCCGTTAAGTCCAAGGCCACCATTCTTTGATTGTCCTGGTGAGGAAGTTGTAGCCACAAACTAATACCACATCTACAAATCCTAACCAAACTCACAAAGAGCACGACCTAAAAGACTCCATTTCGTAAGCACCTCCAAGTCTTGTTTAAAGACCACATGGATTGCAAATATAATGACAGCATGAGTTCAGAAACACACTTCTGTTGTCTATGAACAATAGAAAAAGGGTAACGGAAACAATAATTACTTATCCATACCGTTAACGAATCTTCAAGTTTCTTTGTAGCAGTAAGCAATTTGTTCTCATCAATGAATGGCAACTTCACAACACCCTGATTATTACAGAAGAAAATGAGTGTCACTCCTACTCGTGATGCCATCCATCTAAAAAGGTGACTTCATAATAAAAGGAATATCAAGGTATACCTGCCAGGCAAATCGCTTCCCATGCATGTCAACTTCAAAATCTGCACTTGTTTGGAGAGATGAAGTTATTTCTTGTTAAGAGAATATAAGTATTCTTGTAGATAATAAATTAGTAAGGGTATTTTTGTAAATAGTTTATTAGGGTTGTACTCCTATAAATACTAGTTGGTCACTCATAATATGTGACTAGATGTTTTCCTCCCAAGATACCTGTTGACATGGTATCAGAGCAAAAGTCCTAGGGTTAGGGTTAAACATCTAGCAAAAGTTTTGGTCATCGCGACTGTTCACGCGACACTGTTCACGGGGCGCCGTACTGTTCACGGCACTGTTCACGCGACGCCGTTACTGTTCACGGCACTGTTCACGCGCGGTTCAGTTTTGACCCTTCGTTTGGTTTGGAGTGCTATTCGTTATGGCTGAAAGTCTATCAAAAGGTATTGTAACGTCTACTAATATTATGCCAATGGTGATGCCTCAAATCACAAATTGGAAGTTGAATGACACTAATTATCAACAGTGGTCAAAAGCCGTTAAGATTTATCTGACAGGCTTAGGAAAGCAACGATATCTCACAGATGACTCTCCTACGGAGGACAACAAGAAACTAATGTGGATTCAAGAGGATGCCCAAATTCTTGGAGCAATATGGAATTCTATGGAGCCACGAATTGCTTACATGTGTTCTCATTGTGAGACAACAAAAGAAGTTTGGGATTATGTCCGGTTATTATACTGTAGTAATCTTTCACGGATGTATGATATTTCTTTGGAGTATTTTCAGTTGCAACAAGAAAACAAGACAGTAACTGAATACTTTGCTGATCTTAAGCGAGTTTCAGAAGAATTAAATGCCGTAATGCCTCTCTCAAGTGATATTACAGTTATGCAGAGGCAAAGAGAACAAATGCTTGTGCTCAAATTCTTGGCCGGTCTCAAGCCAGAATTTGAACCAATCAAATCTCAAATTTTAGCAGGTGAACAATTACCATCTTTTGCAGAGGCGTATGCTCGGGTCTTACGTTCTGCATCTAAGGACACTACACATGGTGATGGTGCTCTAATTAATGACAAATCTGCTTTAGTTGCTAACAATGGTCGGATAGAGCAACTCAACTTGGGACGTGGCTCTCGTGGAGGAAGAAGTAGAGGAGGTCGTGGGGGTCGTGGAGGTCGAGGCACCCGTGAGTGCACTCATTGTGGTTTGAAGAACCACACTCATGATACTTGTTGGGATTTACATGGAAAACCACCTCGGTTTGCTAATGCGGTTACCATTGACCAAGCTGAATCAAGTTCTTCAGCACAAGGGTCCCAGAAAACTTTTACCATATCCGAGGAAGATTATGTCAAATTTCTGCAGTACCAAACTGCAAATCAAGCATCTCTTCCCTCTGCTTCTTTAGCACAAAAAGGTAATGCTATGGCTTGTCTCTCCACTTCCAAAAATTTTGACACATGGATCATTGATTCCGGAGCTACTGATCATATGTCAGGTACCTCTAGAAATTTTTCTAATTTTCAAGAGTCTACTTCCTTCCCTCATGTTACTTTAGCTGATGGATCTACAACTAAAGTTAAAGGACTAGGCACTGTAGAAATTAACCCATCTCTTCCGCTGCCTTCTGTTCTTTACGTACCAAATTTGCCTTTTAATCTAATGTCCGTTAGTAAGCTTACCAAATTTCTACAGTGTTCAGTTATTTTTTCTCCTGATTTTGTTGTTATTCAGGATTTGAAGACAAAGAGGACGATTGGTGGAGGACGCGAGCATAATGGTCTTTATTTTCTCAACTCTAATGGTCCGATTGCATGTCCTGCTACTGTTTCTCCTCTTGAAATTCACTGTCGTTTGGGTCATCCGTCTCTACAAAATTTGAAGAAGTTGGTTCCTATCTTGAGTCAGTTGTCTTCCTTAGAATGTGAGTCTTGTCAATTAGGAAAGCATCATCGTGTTTCTTTTGCCCCTAGGGTCAATAAACGGGTTTCGGAACCCTTTTTGTTAGTTCATTCTGATGTTTGGGGTCCTAGTCGAGTCACTTCAAAGTTAGGTTTTAAATATTTTGTAATCTTTGTTGATGATTTTTCAAGAGTTACATGGCTTTATTTAATGAAAGATCGTTCAGAACTATATTCCATTTTTTGTGCATTTGTTACAGAAATAAAGAATCAATTTGGTGTATCTGTACGTATACTTCGCAGTGATAATGCGAAAGAATATTTTTCCACTCCTTTTACTACCTTCATGACTAAGTCCGGTATTATTCATCAGTCCTCTTGTCCTCACAATCCACAACAGAATGGAGTTGCTGAAAGAAAGATTGGACACTTAATCGAGGTTGCTCGGACACTTATGTTGCACATGAATGTGCCCAAACATTTTTGGAGTGATGCAGTTCTAACTGCATGTTATTTAATTAATCGCATGCCATCTACTATTCTTGGAGGTCAATTACCTCACTCCATTCTTTTTCCTCATGAACCTGTGTTTAAATTGCCTCCTCGTATTTTTGGATGTGTGTGCTTTGTTCATCAGCTTGCTCCCGGGGTGGATAAATTAGATTCTCGTGCTATTAAGTGTATTTTCTTAGGATACGCACGAGCGCAAAAAGGGTATAGATGTTACAGTCCAGTTTTAAATCGATTTTTTACTTGTGCTGATGTTTCTTTCTTTGAATCCACTCCATATTTTCTCAAACAAAGTATGTCTTGTGAGTTAGACCAGTGTCACTCTTTTTCCTCTCCTGTTTTACCAGTCCCTTCTCTTTTATTACCTGAGTTATCTAATCCACCAGATTCCATAGCTCGATTATCTCGTCCTCATCTTCAAGTTTACTCTCGTCGTTCCATGGTTGAGAAAGTTCCTGATATGCCACGCACTTCACCAATTAACTCTCACTCTTCAACTCCAGGTATGACGCCCTCCTCTGAGTTAGATCTTCCTATTGCTTTACGCAAAGGTAAGAGACATTGTACTTCTCATCCTATTTCTAATTTTGTTTCTTATTCTCATCTCTCTATGTCATATTCTTCTTTTGTTGCTTCCCTTGATTCTTTCTCCATTCCTAAGTCTATTACCTATGCTCTTAATCATCCTGGTTGGAGATTAGCCATGCAAGAAGAGATGTCTGCTTTGGAACAAAATGGTACTTGGGATCTTGTCCCTCGTCCTTCAGGTAAGCCTGTTGTTGGTTGTAAATGGGTGTACACTATAAAAGTGCAGCCTAATGGTTCTATTGATAGATTAAAGGCACGTTTGGTAGCTAGAGGATTTACTCAGGTGTATGGAGTGGACTACTTAGAAACTTTTTCTCCTGTTGCAAAGATTACCTCTGTTCGTCTTCTTATCTCTTTGGCAGCCACTTATAATTGGCCATTGCATCAGTTGGATGTGAAAAATGCATTTCTGCATGGAGATTTGGAAGAAGAGGTATATATGGAACAACCTCCTGGATTTGTTGTTCAGGGGGAGAATCCGCGGTTGGTTTGTCGTTTGAAAAAATCCTTATATGGATTGAAACAGTCTCCGAGAGCTTGGTTTGGCCGGTTTAGTAGTGTTGTCATGGAGTTCGGTCTGACAAGATGTGGAGTAGATCATTCTGTATTTTATCGGCATTCTAATGCTGGTAAAATTTTATTAGTTGTTTATGTGGATGACATTGTGATTACAGGTGATGATGTTGTGGGGATCCAGAAGCTTAAATCCAATATGCAGGCAAACTTTCAGACAAAGGATTTAGGTCATCTACAGTATTTTCTGGGTATTGAGGTAGCTCGGTCTAAATATGGGATTTATTTATGTCAAAGGAAATATGTACTCGATATGTTGAGTGAAGTTGGGATGTTAGGTTGCCGACCTGTGGATACTCCTATGGATCCCAATGTGAAATTAGCAGGAGATCAAGGTGCATTACTTGATGATCCTAAGCAATATCGAAGACTTGTGGGTAAATTAAATTATCTCACTGTAACGAGACCTGACATTTCGTTTCCAGTGAGTGTTGTGAGTCAATTTCTTGATACCCCTCGTACTAGTCATTGGGATGCTGTTATACGGATTCTCAGGTATCTTAAGAGTGCTCCTGGAAAAGGGTTGCTGTATCAAAATCATGGACACGCTGATATTGAAGGATATAGTGATGCAGATTGGGCTGGTTCTGCCTCAGATCGAAGATCGACTACAGGATATTGTGTGTTCGTTGGTGGTAATTTAGTGTCGTGGAAGAGTAAGAAGCAAACAGTTGTATCCAGATCAAGTGCAGAATCTGAATACCGCGCTATGGCTCACACTGTGTGTGAGTTGGTTTGGTTGAAGAACATGTTACTTGAACTTGGGTTTGAGCATAAACAGCCTATGAATTTAGTGTGTGATAATCAGGCGGCTGTTCATATTGCGTCTAATCCAGTGTTTCATGAAAGGACAAAACATATTGAAGTTGATTGTCATTTCATTCGAGAGAAATTGCTTGACGGGGTCATCAAGACATCTCATGTACCGTCTGTAGATCAATTGGCTGATGTGTTTACCAAGAGCTTAGGGGGCTCTAGGGTGAAATACCTTTGTAACAAGTTGGGTGCTTATGATATATATGCTCCAACTTGAGGGGGAGTGTTAAGAGAATATAAGTATTCTTGTAGATAATAAATTAGTAAGGGTATTTTTGTAAATAGTTTATTAGGGTTGTACTCCTATAAATACTAGTTGGTCACTCATAATATGTGACTAGATGTTTTCCTCCCAAGATACCTGTTGACATTTCTGACGGTACAGAAGGAAATTACTGAATTAAATACAAATAGTCAACTTGCATTACCAGATGGATAGAAATGTATAATAGGCGATGATGGATCAGTCATTAAGCTCCCGTACTTCTCAGGAAGAGCACTTGAACTGGCAATTCGAACGAGGAGCATGTTGTAAACAACAAAACAATAGAAGAACTAATAGAATCAAATAAAAGAACTACAACAAACAAAAACGAGAGACAAGTCCAATCTGCAATAACCTATAAAAGTGCATGCAGGTGATTGTACATCAGTCTTACCAAACTGAACATCCTAATGTTCAAGTTTGTTTGATTATTTTATTGAGTTTAACATTGTGTTCAAGCTTGGTCTGTTTATACATTAAGCCAAATTCAAACGAGCATTTATCAAGCCGAGTTCGAGTAGTCCGAGTTTTTTACCTATAAGCTTCACTCTTATGCTAATCAAGCCAAGTTTATGCTAATCAAGCCAAGTTTGAGCCAAGCTTGAAAATTTATCGAACATAAAATGCTGTTCAAGCTTGATTTGACAAATTAGCGAACCAATCCCAATTCTCAAACAAGCTCTTACCCAACCAAACTCAATTCGAGTATCGAGTAGCTAGGTTCATCTTTCAGCCCTAGGGGGGAGGGAGAGGGAGGGAGAGGGAGAGAGGGAAGGAGGGGGAGATATAGAGAGAGAGAGAGAGAGAAAGAGAGAGGGAGAAGGACCTTGAAGCTGGCAGGGTACCCATGAGCTGATCAAAGGGTTTAAATGGCACCCCAAGAAAAAATGTAATCTCTAAATCAGCTAGATCTTTAAGGTCAGAAGCAAATGGAGCATAATGATATGGATAGAACCTGAAACAAAAACCGAGCAAAAAAAATACAAAATTCAACTTTTAATTTAATGCATAAAGGAACATGAAAAGGAAAAGGAAAAAAAAAAAGCCAGACCCATAAACCAACATTAAACAGTGTCCCCTACTAGCAAGATTGCAAGACAGAAAAACTGAGTGAAATTGATTGAAACAAACTTCTTACCCTTGCACCCAAAGATAAAGGAAGAAAAGATAAATCATATAGGAAACAAAAATAATATACAAATATCCCCATAAGACACTTAGTGGTCATGATAGCATAGATGATGTCAGATATTCCATTCAGGTCAGAATAAATAACCACATGGATACACTTTGTTGCATCACCATCCCAATCTTATTCAAACAAACATCAGATGTCAAACATCCAATACACAGAGTCTAGTACAACAGGAAAAACAATATTGTTGCCTAATGAAAAAACCAACCATTGCCATGAGCAGACACCTTGGTAGTAATACCGACACACCCAGCATAACCCCTCCACATACTTCTGAACCTGCACAATAATTTGCATCATCTCGTATGTTATCACAGGCATCAACATGGCACTTAAGTTATCTCTAAATACAACATTTCCATCTCAAGCAAATACAGAAGATATACAAGCAGAAATGAGGAACTACAATGACATACAATCAACTATTTTTATTCCTTTTATTAAAGTGGAGTTGCAATGAACCTTTCCTAGGGTAATTAGAAGATTAGCAATAGAGTTCAAAAGACAGCAAAAGGAAAAAAAATATAAACTAAACATCAAGAAGAACAAGAACTATAAAAAAAACAAGATGCAATGTTTCTAAATACAACCTAAAATCAAGGCCTTAATACAACCTAAAGACCAAAACTGGAAGGGGAAAAGAAAGCGAGAGACTGGATGGAGGGCCAAAAAGAAGGAAGAATCATGTCATTTAGTTTCCAATATGCTACTCTGAGGCACACAATCCTAGACCGATATTTCACTATTTGTTTTACCTACCAATGCCACTCATTGACAACTTGCTTTCTATGTTAAATCAAACTTTTTACTTATACTTCCTAAACAATTATTCCACTAGCAAAATATTCCACTAGCATTTCGCAAGTTTTTCTTCATGCCAGAACTGGCTTTACAAAGAATTAGAGTTGCATATTACATGGTAAATTTCCCACTTAAAAGGGATGTGTAGTGCAAATATATTCACCAAAGATTGAGATAGAAAAATGGCAGATCTCATACAGACTTTTTCAACAGTACTTTATACTTCCTGATTTACATAAGAGTAATTTCCTCATTTATAGAGTGTCATTCATAAGCAGAAGAGGTTATTTCCTTCCAAAATAGATGGACTTGTAATATTGACATATCAGGGAAATCTTACTTCGAGTACGATGACACTGGTGTGCAAGGAAGAACCAAAAAACAAAAAATCCAACAAATGGAAGCATTAAAATAAGGAAGATTTCGATTCGTTCTTCATTAAAGCAAATAGAAGGACTCAAGAAACTTACTACATCATTTCTGACTTCATCAATCTCCACTGGCTTTGATACTCCAAATTTCTCACAATAGTACCTTTCTTTGTAACCAGGCTCCCCTAACTTTACCTGAAAGAGAAAGGTAAATTACCAAAATAACTACACGAAAGCAGAGAGGCATAAATAAAAATTAGTCCCAGCACTAGCATTACTGCAGTCCTAATTACAAAAACACCACCAATACAAGGCATAAGGATGGCATGCAATCCTTGACTTCTTTTTTTCACAATAATTTATCCATAAACACAAAAAAGTACCCATTTGCAATCCAATTCTTCCTCATCTAAAGAAAAGTTTACATCTCAGAGCTTGACTTGAGGCATTATATCAACTCATAAAAAAAAAAACCCCACTTTTTCCCTTTCGATTTGAAAACTACCTAGAAATATACATTTAGGAACTCATATTGTACAGGAATTGACATATTCCACTCCCATTCTTCTCTTTCTGGTTTTAGTTATATTTAGGTCCAACCATCTAAGCTTTTAGCCAAGTCATAAACAATATAAGGTAAAATGATTGGATGAGTCAGTGAGCATTCATACCAATGTCAATATCTGAGATAAGATTCCTTAGAAAAGAGATACAAAGATGAAATTACATGCTAAAGTCAAAAAATTTTACATAGATAACTTTTTAAGTAAAGAAGGCTGGATGGAGAAGTTTCTCAAACTTTTAAAGCACATTTTGTGTACATTCACTTAGAATTTAATCATGGTCCGCTTGGTTGGTTTTTTATTAGGTGTTTGTCTAAAATTTCACTGTTGCTCAGCATAGTTATTTTAGGACAATATTGCTGTCTGTCCAAGACAATTGTTTTGGAAAGATGTTTGGTGCTTTTTAGGGTGTTTTATGTGATTCAAAACATGGTGGTAAAACCCTGCCACCCTCCACGCACCACCCACCTCCATCCCCCTCCTTCCCATCTTCTCCCTATGCCTACCACCCTCCTCCCCTCCCCTCCCCTCCCCTTTTTCCCCTCGCACCTCCCCTTCTCGCAATCCCCCCCCCAAAAAAAAGCCCAATCAACCAGATTGGGCTTTTTTTTTGGGGGGCGGGTCCCGGGGGGTTGTGTGTGTGTGTGTGTGTGTCGCTGGAAGGAGGGAGGGGAGAAAGGGAAGGAGGAAGGAAGTGGGGGAGAAGAGGGGAAGGAAGGGGGTGACAGGTAGAAGAAGGGAAACGAAAGGAGGATGGAGGGTGGCTGGTGGATAAAGGGAGGCGGGTGGTGGGCGTTTTCATGCGTGTTTTTGGGTCTTTTACTTTTCTTTTTTTTTGTGGGTTTTTGGGTGGGGGGGGGGGAGACGAGGTTGTCAGTTATTTTCTATTTTTTAAAGTGTTTTTACCAATTACTCTAGTTAGTGATTTTGGACACTTTCCATTTCTAAAACAGCCCTGCCAAACAGACCCTCAGGTTTTATCGGCACTCTGCATAAGCTTTTTCCTCATATCCAAGATCTGTCCCCACCTACTTACCTAAGTTTTAAAACGAACTCCAACAGTAATTTTATATATTTTTTCTCCGTCCAATTCTATCTGGACAACACTCACAAGCTGTCTCTCCACCTACTTAGAAACAAACTCCAACAGTAAATCATGTATATCTCTCCCTCCATCCAATTTTCTATTTTGGCAACACTCAAAACCTAATGTGAACAACAAACAATGCAGAATAACTAATCAGAGGTGGAAAAAAGCATTGACAACATTAAGCATTAGAATGTGATGCTAACACATTAAAAGATAAGTGAACATGCATAGAAGAAGACAGGAAGTTGAAAACATGTAGACTAAAACTACAAGCCTTCCTGCTCCAGCAAACCTTCCCCCAAAATGACATGTGTAGTTAAGAGGCCTTGTCCAATGTGAATCAAAGTGGAAATAGCAGAGAACCGACAGAATCCTCATCTAATTTGTTGTACCTTATCCACAACTTGAGCCTGGGGCTCCTCGTTGGTCTCTCCTCTTGCTTTAAGCTTCATCTCTTCATTATTCTCTATGGCCTGAAATAGCAACTACGGTTATAAATAACAAAAAACTAAAACTTACATAAAACTAGGCAACTATAATGCTGGATGGTGCAGGTGATACAAACCCTAAACAATTCAGCTAACTATTAAGTAGCAGAAGGAGATCTGACTCAAAGGTTCATAATCAGTTGATGAAACATAATTAACAAAAGATTACCAACAAATCATGTTTGAAAAAGTATTTGTCAAAATAACATAAAAACACAAAAACTACATCAAAATCACTATGAAGGAGAAAAGAAACCTAGATTTCCCCAGGAAGTAATCGCTGATACAGAAAAAATAGGAAGGAAATAAAGCTAGTGCATCCTTGCAAATAACCTATTCTGAAATAATAACTTCAAGTCCTCAACAGATATTAAAGCATCAGGTATATGGTGGGTGATCAGACATAGACATCCTTGGCAAGAACCTACTAGTAAGTGTGAAGAAGAGTAATTTTTTGAACAATAAAGGGGGGGAAAACTCAGCATATTAGCTAATTCATTAAGATGCTCATGAATAGGCTTCAGAATTAAAACAATCACAAGCACCTGCTGTATACGAGCACGCTTTTGAAAAATTTGATCTTCATGAACAGCAACAGCCTGAATAAAGTGTTCAACTCTGTCCAGCAGAACCTGAAATGCAGGGGAAACAATAAGCAAAACCTGTCACTTAAATAGAACCACTTCATTAAAGTAAGTTAAAGGACCAAACTAGTCGACCTTGAACATCCTGTTCTGATAAATTTATGGTATTTAACAAAGAACATACACACAAATAAGCACCATAAGAGCTAAAAGTTGTAAGGTGCTAATATACGAGAAGAGAATGATTTTAAGAACTAACAAATATAAATTGTACACCATACGTCACAATTATGCATGTAGTTATACTGCAGATGCGCCTAACAGATTTACTTGTAGAACTATACTTGCATTAACACAATCCGGAAAATAAATTCATTCAATTAACCCTAAATTTCATCTACATATTGTGCGGACATTATGAGAACTCTCACTTGTCAATTTAAGAAAAAAATAGAAGAAAGAGCAATCAAAAGGTCATATCAAATTGTTTTTCCACTCTCTAACCTCAAAATCTTTGTACTATACTTTCTTTCCACAAGATCTACCATTTAAGTTGTCCATAGTACAAAGGTCTGCCATTTAAGTCGGCCAAAGCACAAAGCATGTAGATGCAGATGCAAGAAATCATGTTATTCATCAAAAGATCAAATTGTTAAGATTTCCTACAAAGCATCGTGCAGGAAATGTTGGGCTTGTTTGGCACATGAGTTTGATTTTAAAATTTGATGAACCACACACAGACATCTCTGCACCATGAGGGCACCTATAATCTACAGTCCAAAACTTTCAGTCTACATTATATCCTCTTCTCATTTTGAAATATCAACTCAAAAAAGGGACCGAATTCCAGTCCAGTCCATGGCAATGGAAATAGCATTGACAATATTATCTTTCTGAGGCCAAAAAGGAGAAAGACAGATTGGCTAGTCAGAAATCTCATGATAAAGCATTGCCTTTCAGCACCAAACAACCCTCTATTAGGAGATCCAATAACACCTATTTGCAGACCGAATCTTAAGTACCACTATGAGCTCTAATAAGAATTTTAAGAGCCACGAAGCAACCAGGGAACCCAAACCAAAGCACTGAGCAAGGACACCCAAATTTGTACTCAACGATCTAACCACCATTAGATGGTATTCATCTGGAATTACCTTTTAAGCAAAATTGGCATTTTGCACCTAATAAATCTCAAATAGTCACCCATACAATTATTTTGCTTTTCTTTTTCCCTAAAGTAACAAGGATTATTGAGGTTTTACCATTTCAGACATCATTAATTCTAGTCATAATGCAGGTATGTGTCATCAAAAAAGAGGATGGCCACTAATCAAGAATATTAAAGCCACTAGAAGAACAGAAAATTACCTCACCCTCTTCAGTAAGATAACCACCCATTGCCGTGAACTCCCTTCTGTATACAACCATCAGCAGATTGATAGCCCCCTATTGGACTTAAAAAAATTTAGTGACAGCTAAATAGAGAAAGCACCAAGGAAGCCACAAACTAGCGAAAGAATATCCCACTATCTAACGAGTTATGTAATCTCTATGATATCAATGTACCACGATCCTAGTAATACATATATACATAACAACAATATATGACAATATCAAACAATTGCGCAGAGACTAGTCACAGCAATAACCGCTTCTAATAGCTGGCTCAGTGATACATACCTCTCTAATTTCTAATGTAGGCATATGAGGTAGAAAGTCGTTGCCAACAAAGAAGCACAAAAACACAAAATCATCCACCAGCCTTTCAAAGTCTAACGCAAATGGAGGGCTGACTATCTCTAAATCATACTGCAAGTACTCACGTAAAACCCATATGTTGAGGAACTGCCAAATAAATAAAGGGTGACAAGAAGTAAGAAGGGTTCCATAATACAACAACAATAAATGGAAAGAGACTTGAACATGAAACCTCAAACTTTAAGCTCATAATTGATTACCCCACCTGATACTTTTTCTTGTGAATAGGAACGTCATTTACCAAATTCCCATTTGCATCTTTAGACCCACTACCCGCACCATTACACTCAGCTGCCAAATGACCAACTTGACCGCATAAAAAACATTTTTCCTGTTGCCCAGGTGGAGTAATTACCTGTACCATCCATGGAGAGATTCAGAGTATTAAACGTTTACAGAAAGAATCCCTACAACAGTCTACACAATAATGCCACACTTACCTCCCTCAATATAGAAAAGTGGACTTCATGTGTAGCTAAAGACAGCATAATCAGATCAGCATCCTACGTTCAGACAAATCAAAAAATTGCTTCAGACATTACCATCACAGAATTACAAACCAGATCCATCAGGCCAATTGTTAAAGCTAAAAAAGTATGCAAAGAAATGAAACAATGACGTTAAAAATGAAGGCAAAGCAAGTAACAATTATATAACTCACCAGACCATATAGACAATGATGGGTGTTTGGATCAAAGCCAGGAAGATTACGTTGTAAACGAATATATGACATGATTTTGTGCTCTCCCTCACCAGGAACATTTGAATCAGAAAGAATAACCTTCAAATAAGCACCCAATGCAGCCCCATAAATTAATTAAGAGATGACAAAGTATCCTGAAAACCAGAAATATTTTGAAGATAGAACCCGAAAAGATCACTCTGCAGGATCATCTAATTTTCAAAGACTGAGCAGGGAAAGGAATTTGTAAAGCTCTAACATCGCACCTTTGTAAACCTCCAGCCAGGATTGTGGTTCAACCTAGACTGTACATAATACTGAAGCGCTACAGAAAGCACTGCCATGAATGGAGTACCAGGGGTGATGACATTTGAATCAGATGTCTCAGGCTTCTCTTTTGGCAATAAATTAGCCCCCTCAACCTCAAATTCTTTCTTCAACCTTTCTTCTTCAGCTTCCTGGAGGAGGAACTAGACTACATGACTAAAACTTCTTCTACTTTCAAAAGTGAGATGAAAGAATTCTTACAGCTTCAGCAGCATCTTTAGCAGCCCTAAAACGCCTAGATCGTTGCTGGTTCATTTTAGCTCTAGGAGCAACGCCATCTACAGAAGAAATAACAAATTTAAGACACAGAGGGTCCAATTCCAAATAGAACACTGAGAAGGACAATTTCTTTACTTACCAATTGCCATATAAAGAAGCCTTCTTGGGCGAACCAGTGAGAATAAGTGGTCGACGTAATCAAATATTGATCTGAATACATCATCATAGGTGGTCGGCGCAGGCTGTACATACAAGACAAAGCCACGCTTCATTAAACTAAACAAAAAAGCTAGAAAACACATATTAGGAAAGCTTTTGCAAGAATCAACTGCTCAATATACAATTGATAAATCCTAGAGACGTCTCTTAGAGCTATCAATTTCAATTATGTGTACCAACTTCATGTAAATAACTATGTAGCTGGTACTTGACACTTCATAAACATCATTACGTTTCATAAATGCAATTGCTAGACATTCAACCACAGATCCACAGCCATATAGACTTATCCAAGAGTTGCATCAAATGTGAAGTCAACATGAAAAAAGCACCAATAAATATGTCCCCAAATGAAACCCAAAAAAATAAAAGTAAAATAAAAATCTCAGACCATACACAATATAGAAAAACTCTAGATTTGAGGCTCTCCATAAATTAAGAAAAACTTTATGTACTTATTCGGACATTGGATTATACAGAAGGGCTAATGAAGGCCATACATGAAAAGAACCCCTTTACTATTGAGTAGAAAATTTCACAGAAAATTAACAGACAATATTCCAGTCTTACAATTTACTCACTCAATCCCAAAATAATGGGTTGCTTTCATAAATCCAACTTTTTAGCAACATTGCAAAGATTGCCAGGCACTGGTGGCTTTATTTCCATTTTCACCTTTTGTAAAGTCTATTACAATGTGGATTGTCTGTCATTTCTACTACTTCCAATTACATAGCTAAACTTGAGGGGCCCATTGATCTATGTGAAACTCCAGATAAATGAATGTGCTTGTTTGACAAACTTGCACAAGTGCATATCTCTGAATGTCACACATATGGAGTACATACGTTAAAGAACTCATCTCAGTTTCTTGCAAACTACAGCAATGGCAATCAAGAGGCATCATGAACCGGAAAGTTCTGAAGTTTTTGTTAGCCAATTTTGGTGGACACATTTCCCAAAAAACCAGAAGAAAAATATGACATTAAAATGGGCAGAGGGAGTAAAAAATTATTGACATATTGCATTAGAAAAATATTAATTTTCAATGCTTCAAGACATTGTGCATCTCCAAATTATAGCAGCAACATCTCATCTAATTACACGAGTCGCAAGAGAGAGGCCTACTAACATGACAGCCTTCGAAGATAGTAGATACAAAAGGTTACCAAATCATAGGCAGTATCTTTCTTATTGTAAAATAATGTCTGCTAAGACAAATTAATCCACAGGTAAGACCAAGTGTATATACTTATATTTACATGGACACAAAAGGAGACAGATGCCTGTGTGTGTAAATTATAGTCTCTATATGCCCAATCAAAATCTAAAGTTCCAGGAAAAACGGATTAATTGATGAGGTGACAAAAATGCTGATTATGCTCATATAAGATAACTTTCATTTTCAACTTCCAAAATCCTCTTTGTTATTAATTTCTTTTCAAGATGTATCGTTAACAGATCAACTCAAGAGTATTCATGTTGTCTAGCATGGTTCCACAACCAGAGACTGTTGCGTTGAATATTTCTCCAGGTAAATGATGCAACGGAGAAAAAAGGACATAGCTAAAACAAAGGGAAATAGAACAACTCAGTTCAAATAAAACATAACAAAAATCAAATTCACAATTTTTAGATAATGCATATAGCACGAAAACTTTTCAATGAAAAAAAAATATTAATATTTAAATATCAACCAATATCTACCAACAGGTTCCCCATACTTCAGTTAGTAGTCTAAATAAAAGAAAATAGAAAATTTCACTTGAATACTGAAGTGTATATCCTCAACCTATGGACATTGTAGAATCAATAACCTTTTTAGTCAAACTCTAGGGTAAGCACAAATAAAGTGAGTCAGAGGTATTGGTTTTCAGACCTTAAATCCCACAGCACTGGGAACATGAAAAGCAGCCACTTTTCAGTGAACAACTGTGCAAATATAAATATAAAAAAGAAAACCACACTATTATCTTTTAAAGATTCCATTCATTCTTATTTATTTCAGCAATTGGACATTTATTCTCCACCATTGAATTCGTTAAATGTCCAACAACAGGGGACCAAAGCATGGGATCATAAATGCCTCAAGAGCACTAGGATGGCTTACGGCAATAAGTTTCAACTCCGAAACTCTAGTCTCAATTCCTCAAATTCAGTTATCTTCCATGCCAAGAAGCAATTAATCACCAAGATGTACTCTTTTTTTTGTCATTTAAGACTTATCTCCAAGCCTTCTCATACTCCACACCCCAATGCCACATATTCCAAAGTCCTCTATCTCAGTCCTCCCATTTTCCCCTTTTGTTTCACTTCAGTCCTCCTTCTGCCTCTTCCCGAGCCCCAACCACCCGTCAGCAACAATTTCAGTTCTACTTTCTTCTTTTTTTATCTCCATCTTTGCTAATCCCATCCCAAACCCAACCCCCAACCCCCCCCCCAACTACTAAGTTCTTCTAATTTTCTTCTCTTCCCTTTCTTTTTGTCAGCTCCCTCCCTACCTTTTCTTAGTCATTTTCCTTCCTCCTCCTCCATGACTCCTAGCTTTCCACAAAATTGAACTTCCCCCTCTTTTTGATACTAGACAAAGATATTTAAACACATAGCAACTGACACCACTTAACCCCGGGATGAATGTTTTCTCCAACCTAGATGACATTACAAAGCTCTACCTAAGACCTCACTTCTAAACTAAGAGTGCCATATGAGCATTCCACAAATATTCGCTATTCTTCTCTCCAACAGATAGTTACTATGGCAAACACAGAAGCAGGCAAATGTTTAGTGAAGAGTAGTCTGCACCCAAATACAGAAGCATGGACTTGTGTGGATCCATACCATGTATTGCTCACAAATAAAAGGCCTACCACTTTAACCTAGCAGACTATTCTTACCAACAGATCTCCAAACTAAATTGGAAAACACATTCCACGTTCTTATTCCAGGTACCCCTCAAGAAGCCCACAACATTCTAAACGCAACACAACCCTTAACCCTACGCTCTACCTGCTTTCCACAGAATTGGAAGTATGACTGTCCAAAGTTCTGATACCCTAACAAACTCAATCAACAAAAGATTGCAACACATTTAATAAGCATATCTTCATTTCGGCTTAAAAATAACTTATTATGAAGTTCAAAATTGGGACTTTTTTTATTCAATAAACACTTCATCAAAAGCCACTCCCACCAACACAGGCTCTTACTCATCATTATTTTCATATTAAACTTTCAAACGTTCTTCCCACCAAGAAAAAAGGATTCCATCCAATAATAAACCCTAAATTCAAGACTTTCCAAAACAATAAAATATTGAAAACCAATCAAAAACCAGGGAAATCAACAAATGTACTTCTCCAATTGATAATCATTAAAAAGAATTGAGTTTCTTAAAACTTCGACAATACCTTGCCTTCTGGGTGAAAACACGGATGAATAATCCCGTTCATATCCAAATACAAGTTATCAAACTCCATTCCATTAGGATTTGGCTTCGAGACATCTACAGGTACAACGTCACCGTTTGCGTCCTCCCTCGGCTCCTCCTCCACCACGTCGACGATGGACAACGGGTACCGATCGGCCAGCCACCTGTAAAACGCCGGCACTCCCATTCCTTCTTTTTTTTTTTTTGCCGCCTCCCTTCTTCAACCACCACCTACTGTAGAAAAAGCTCCACCCAACTCTCAGAGATTAAATTAATATAAAATAAGTGTGTGTAGTGCGTGTGTATATGTATTTATACACACACAGTTTCTGCTGTGAAGGTTTTAGAGAGAATAATTCAGGAGCTGGTTTTCTATGCGTTGAAGAAAGAATAAAATAAAAATACGATACAATTGATTATGCATTGAATGATAGTGCATTGAGATATCTGGGACAGGTGTCAAACGTGAAAAGACGGTAATGCCCCGATAAGTATAATGAAGTCAAAGAAATTGATTATTTTTTGAAATATAAAATGTGTTCGGATGGTTGATTATTTGAAATATTATTGAAATAATTACTGTAGTACATTTTACGGTATAATATGTTTGAGAGAAAAAATAATTTAAAAATTTAAAAAAAATTAAAAAAGTATATTTGTGATACAAGCAAATAATTATTTGCTTCCTAAAAAGAATTATTTGCAAATAATACCTATCCAAACATATCGTATAATTTGAAGTTGCATTGAAATTTGTATTCTATTATTTTCGTTCTCTTTTTGAGCTAAATTTGAGTTTGGGAGCTGCAAAAAATAATTGACAGCCCAATTTGAACCCATGTTTAATAGCTCATATTATATATAAATGGTTAACTTCGTTTTTCAAAAAAATAAAAACAAAAATGGTTAACTTCTCAAGTGTGAGCTGCTGACTTAAAATTTTCAAGAAACTTTTATTAATATTTCAAAATAAACGGTTCAAATTGAAACAACCTAATGTGACTTTATTTAGGTGACAAGGACTCTATAATTGCCACTATCAATTCTAGAAACCTTCTTATAAGTGTTTAACTTGTATGATTCTTGAGCCTATAGCAAGATTGCACATACGACCTATGTATTTACAATAGAAGATAATTAAGATCTATTACTTTCACATACAATCTTCATTTCCTTTGATCACAAGATGAATCTTCTTTAGCCTTGGATTTGATCAAGTGTTTTGATTAAACTTTATTTTTGCTCTATCAAGTGTTTTGACTCATCTTTTCATTTTTTGCAAACACAGAAGTTTAAATTGAAAAGTATATTTGCAAAATCATAATCCAACTTAGAAGTTTAATTATATTGTAACTTGTTAGGATTTTGTCTATCTTGAGCCCAATGGTATCCATTAGCACACCTAATTAAAAATAAGTTATTTTGTATACACACATTTATACATCCCTGTACTTATACATCTTTTCATTTTTTTCCCCCACATTTTAGGCAACAAGGGATGTCAGTGATTTTGGTTAAACCTCAAAGTTTACTTGGGCAATTAAGGTTTTCTCTAACCTGCCTATGGTGTTCCCTTTAGAAGTTAGAATTGGATTGGGGCCAATCCGATTGATTTTGATGTATAAAAAAAAGAAAAAACTTTAATGGGGAATTCCATAATTTCTAAATGATTTAGAGAAATTTTTTTGAAAAGTAGTGCTTGAGAGTATAAAAAAATAAAGAAGATGAAGAACATTATTTATCTATATGTTGTTAAAAGCTTCAAATATGAAATGTACTACTTCACGTGTAAAATATCTATAATTTACATAGAATACGTTTTACTAGATATACAACTAGAGAAAAATGTGCAAAAATTTGCACTTTCTTATCACTTTTTAGCTAAAGTGTGACCTTTTTTATAAAGGTTTTCAATGAAAAACAACCTTTATATCCAGGAAAGCAAAAATTGCAGTAGGGCAGGAGTGCTTTAAGCCATCTTGTCCGTACTCCAAGCCCCCGTAGAGTTGCAATTGGGGCATCTGAGTTGGAATTTAACAAATTCAAACTCGGTTCATCTACTTAGTAAGATATTCAAATTTTGGATTATGAGTTTCGAACTAATATATGTGAAACTCGTACTTAACTCAAAATACATTCGAGTTTTTAGCCTTATTCGAGTTCAACTCAAATTCACTTATTACTTCTTAATTTTTTTAACATAATTACTGTGACTATTAAGCAATAAAACTACTTTAAAATCTATAACATTAAAACTACACATAAACCATTAAAAAGTTCATTAAAAGTACATAAACCAAAATATTTGCAACAACAATTGTATCTAATTCTTTTAAAATACATGAAAAATAATAACAAAACATGATCAACTGTCAATTATTCATTACATGTTTAACGAACCTAATTCTTTTTTTTTTTTGCTAATTACTAATCATCTAATGATACATTACATATTTAAAAATAATACATTTATAGTTATATATATTAAGGTGCACATATATATTAATATATATCAAATTATAAATATTGTATGTGTATATAATAACGAGTTGAACTTTAATTGGACTGGGCCTATGGAGGCCCAAGTTCTGTCCACATTTTAATTGAATTTCAAATCTACACCCAAACTCTGCCTGACCCAAAATTACAATAACCTCGGCTCATTTTCTTTCAAACATAATGGGTCGAACTCGTCTAGCCCAACTCTATTGATAGCCCTATGTCTCCCTTAAGCACCATCCACTTATAACATTCATTTTTGTATAAAAATGAAAATAATAAATTTTTGTTAAACAAAGTGAGAGACCCATTTAACTTGGCGAAGAAGTGCTATGTGAGGAAAAATACTACTAAATTTCTCTATCTAATTGAAGCAACAAAGATTTAGTTGGGTGGAGAACCTAAAGATTTAGTTTTCCTTGTCGAAAAACCTGTTTTTATAGGAGAATAACTACATTCCAATTGAAAGTAATAAGACGTCTTTTTTTTTAACTTTTTTATTTGTGTAAATGGGAGGATTTGAACCAACACTTACTTATAACCCTTTCCACCTTATTACCCAACCCAACCGTAGTCCAATAAAAGCACAATTTTTTTAAAATTTTTTAAGAGGTCTTGGGCATTTGGGAACCCAAAACTTTTTATTTACAATCCGTCTCATCTTACCACCAAATCCAACCCTTTCCTAATAAGATAACTAGAACAAGCATATCTCTTCAACATTAAGATTATAGTGCTAGACAAAGAATGGACAAATCAGATATGAAAAAGGTGTGCACTTTTGTTTTTTGACATAACTTTGTAATCCTTAAATATATTTGGATAGTACATTATTTGGGATAATTTTTGAAAAAAATAGTGTAGCACTTTTATGATATGTTGTATGTGAGATAAAAATGTGGTTGGAAAAAGTATTGATGATGCAAGTAAATAAATTTTGACAAATAATTCACTATCCAAACAACTTGTTCCTTAGTACAATTTCTAATTCTAATTCCTTGGTATAACTTCCTATTAGAAACTCCAGTTAAATAACATTTCTCTTGCAATCTAACTATAGACACCGATGTTTTGTCATTTTAATTTTGTTAGAAAAGGGAGGGTAAGTGAATAATCCTAAATTACAAAAAAAATCACCTTTTTATTTTATATTTTGGGCACCAAGTTTCAATTTTCCAAATTTGTGAAAAAATGAAAAAAAATAGAATAATAATAGTGAGCTTTTAGGAAATTTCCTAGCACCTACTTCGCTATAGATCCATATTCCACCCTAATCACTCAATGATAAATCTATATTCCGCCCTAATCACTCGCGGTTGAGTACTCGATCAAAACTCGCATAATTCCAAAACTTTCCCAATCAACGGATTAGATCAAACTCTGCTATACCATTAGAGACAAGAACCCACCCCACTTACCTATTCTTTACCACCTAACTCACTTTATCACCTCACTTCCCAATCAACGGATTAGCTTATATGGACAGAAGAATCCACCCCACTTCTTTATCCTAATCACTCAATGATAGATCATATTCCACCATAATCACTCATTTTTTAGTACTTAATCAAAGCTAGCATGATTTCAAAACCTTCCCAATCCACAGATTAGATCATAGTCTATACTTGACCCTTGCACACTAACGCGCCTCACTCTCACTTATTTATCCTTCACCACCAACCAATGGGATTAGATTGTAGTCTTCCACCTAGGGGTGAGCAAACGGTACAAATTCGGTAATTCGGTTAGCTGAATTCGGTGAATTTGGTTATTTGACTTATAGAAATCTAAACTGCTTTCAATTTCGAATTGGCTATAACCAAATTTATTTCGCAACTGATTTCGAATTCGAAAATGATAATGAATTGGTTAGCCGAATTCATTTATTAAAAAAAACTGATTTTTTAAAAATTATTACTGATTTGATCCCCAAAATTATTCATAATTTAACACATTACTTATGTTATAATCACTTTATGATTTAATTTAATTGGCATTTATTTGATCACTTATACCTAGAATCCTTAGTATATGATTTATGGAACACATAAAAAGTGATTAATTTAAACTAGAATAAAGCTTAGACTAGATAATTTATGAATTTATAGTTTACAATGATTAATAATAAGTAATATTAGTCACAAACTTACAAATTACAGTGATTAGTGATAAGTTATATTAGTTACAAACTTATAATTTATTTCAAATCAAAATAAAACTTATTTACTTACATATGTTATTATGAAAGTCAATACACTAATACATTGATTTGCAATTCGTATGCATTCACTTACACTGCTTAGTTGTCTTTTCTATACTTAAAACCTTAAGATTAGTGAATAAAGAATATGAATTTTATATTAAATATGTAATGTAAATTTAGAGCACATTAATACTTGCAAGTTACAGGTTACGCATTCAAATATTCAATAATTCAGACATGAATGATGTATCAAATTACCAATATCTAAATTCTAATTACTAATTCTGTTTATTGTTTAATATTTAGTATTATACATATACGTATTACTTATTATCTAATTCTAGTCACGTTACTCATGTATAAAATAATAAGTATTATAGTTATGTTATATTGTTATGTATTACTATATATTTGTATTATTATAGTTATATAACAATTAACAAATACAAAAATTATATATTGTACATTATTATATATATTATTATTATTATAAGTACGTGATAATACCATATACTAACTATTATTAATAGCATTTACCTATATAATATAATAATATATTAGTAGTATATACTAATACTAAATAGCATTTATCTATATATTATATAATTTTATAAACTAATTTGGTATTCGAATGCGGTAATGCGGTACCCTATTTC